GTGCATAAGCGCAAACACACTCAAAAGTGTGCAGAATAATATTGTTGTAAGCACAATAGTAGATTATCAGGTATTTATGAGTACTATAGTTAGCAATGAGAAAAAATTAGAACTGAATATGACCTGAAATATATATACGTATATTTATGTCATTGAAGACTAAACGGTGAAATGTTACATTGGTCAAATGCACCTAAAAGAAACAGATGTCCAAAATCTAGGTTATATAAATCTTTTAGATAACTAAAAAATTTTGAGGCAATTTTCATTTGTTTACCATAGATAGATGTAAGGGTGTAAATCTATAGACATGCTGTGAATTATTCGATCAGTTGTTGGTGATTTTTATGGTTTACAAACGGGATCCTATTAATGGTGACCTACTCATGCCTTTGAGTTGCTATATTTAACAAATGTGCATTTACAACCATATACTTTGTCTGTTTTTACGTTTGTTTCAAATGTCTAATTATGTACGATAAGCGTGTGTACTTATAAACCTACAAAAAATATTTACAAGCTATCTAACTGCCGAGAAATTCAGGAAGAACCATCTTAGTGGTTAGTTTATTAGTAAATTCTTCTTGATTATATAACATCTTTATCTAAAATGTTCTACCAACAGATATCAGATACATACAAATCAAAATTCATTGTTAGTATCATGAAATATAATAGATTAAGGCCATATAAACTTAATTATTTTGTGGTTTTAACTTGGTTATTTCAATGTCTTACATAACGTATTTATTTCACTTGTCTTATAATACTACGTGGTATGACTACTTGTTCAAGTTAATAATGTCTGTTAGAAGTCATCTATATTCTTAACCCTATGTGTACTTACTTTCAGAAAATATTTACAAACTATCCTTTGGAGAAACAAGAAGTGACTACTACGTAATTCATGCATCAAATATGTTATGGCAAGAAGACTAATTGTAGACATTTACTGATAATAGTGGCAGGTAATTATTGTTAAAAAATTTATTATTATTGTTATTATCATTGCTACTATCAACGGACAAAATTTAACCAATTATCTAGAAATATTGAAACTGAAGTATCTGATGGGCCGCCTATATTATTCGCAAAACAGTGACCAATTACAAGTTGATGCATTTGATTTTATTCAGATTTGAGTGTGTGTTAATGGTACTAGTTGGTGGTCTAAAATGAGGTAAAAGTATTACATTTTAAAACTGCTACTCAACGGCTAAAAATAAAAATATATTAACTACTGAACCATCAGTCTATCGTTAATGATAGTGGTCAAGACTGTTTCAATGATTTATCACTTATCATTCCTATACATTACATTTACTCACCATCTATAATTACTATTTATACATAGAAATAGTATAGACGGAACCTACCCATAAGTAAAAATTTCAGTCAAGTCCAATCAATGTAATCTTATAAATATCATAATCTACCAAACAAATTCATTTTAGAACGTTGGGCAATGAATGAAATTGGACATTTGTTTCTGGTTAATAAAGAATTTTGTTCAACAAAATATTAATAAGGCAATACAATTATGACATACGTAAGAAATATTCATCAAACTACTTAATACATTAATAGTTGGATTCATGAGTCGATCTAAGCTACACCAACATTGAAAACCTGGAAGCACTAGACAGCCATTTTGTCCTAGTATGGCACTCCTCAGCAGTGCGCATCCAATAGACAATAGGTCAATGGTTGCGCAAGACCATGGATTGGTTGACGTTAGACATTAACACCACTGGATATCGGCTCAGTGGTCTAGTGGTTATGTGTTTGCCCTCGAGACCAAGGGTCTTGGATTTGGGTCCCGCATGTGGGGTTGTAGATGCTCACTGCTGAGGAGTCACATACTAGGACGAAATGTCCGTCTAGTGCTTTCAGTGTTGGTCTAATTTAGATCGACTCATGAATTCAACTATTAAAATTACTATAATCTCTGCAAACACACATTTTTATAATACTTAATATATGTGATGAATATGAATTATGATTGTTAAATTTGACTAAATAAATACTTCAATTTTATTAGTATAAATCGACATAAATGTTTATTGAAACTGGCCAAGAGAAGTTTCATTTTTGATATCAAGTAATCGAAGTTGAAGGGCAGTGTTAGTTAGTTTAAGAATTCTGATCATTAAAATCTCAAATAGGGTAGGAGGATGAAATACTCCGAAATTGATTGGATGAATGAATAAATTCGTGAACTAGGAAGGACAATGATGGTGAGGATATAATGAACTAGACTTAAGGGTACTGCTATACATTTGACTTTAAAAAATTATCTTCAAGAGACGATAACACAAAACAAATTTCAGTTATCATGATTTATTCCTTGTTGGAGCCAACAGTGATTCAGACAGGAACAAAGAGGAGTAGAAACCAAACTACTGCGTCAACCACTAATATATATAACACATTATTGTAATAAGATATTCAATAGTTTTATATTCACACTTAAACTGATAGTTGGACATTCAGCATAAAGTTTGTAGATTAGAAATAAAAAATATGATAATTAGGTTCTATTTAATAATCGAATATCGTTATTATCCTGAAAAATGTTGTCTCCGACAAAATGTGGCTCATTCTATAAAAATGTAGATGACTCTAGAAGAATTTTGAAACACTTTTCTTTACGAATTGATTTAAGCTAAATAATCAATGAAATTCAGCAGGGATTCTTTCTGAAAGTCATCAAGTGAGAACTGTTAGAACAATCTAAAACTATGATAGAACAAATATTTATTATTTTCTGGATTTTGATGGTTTTTCAGCTAATGTCAAGTAGTTATGAAAAACCACTTCTCAAATATCACTTTGTATTTAGCTAACACATTCCTAATAACAAGAAACGTGTGTTCTATAATCCGTTGCTAGGTACAAACTATCTATTCTATCTAATTTGTGACAAAGTGGCTATATCAAGGTGATCTAGCCCGGATGTACATATGTCAATAAAGGATGATCAGAATCCAGTTTTAAACATCAACAACGGGCTAATTCAAACCCTAACTAATAAGTATTTAGATATCATACCCATGTAGTAGGTGTTTACTAGCTGTCTGAACCTATCAGCTAAGTAAATAACGTCTTTATGTTTGAAGTAAAAAGTACTAGGTTTGAGTCCCAATATGAGGATCAACAACAGGAGGGAGGTGTGTACAGTTGAGTAGTCGTAAACATTAGAAAATGCTCTTCCTAGATTCCGCTGAAAAATACAATATCTTTAATTCACTTATTCCAAACACCATGTATTTAATCATTTTGAATTAGTATGATATATAAGTGTAGATAATATTGTTTGGATAAGATATTCATGAAGTTTTTTTATCAAGTCAAGGAAAATAACATTAATTTAAATGGGCTAAGAAAATAATGTTACATTGATTTAATTAGTGGAATAGTTGAGAAATGTTTCAGAGAATAATTATGGTAATGAAACATCCATCGAGTCAAAATCAATTTACATGAACCATGTAATACAGACAAAGAAGTAAGATAAACAAAAATAGTCTATCGAACCATTACAATATTAAAAATTATACTCCTACAATGATAGTCTGAATTTTGAACAGTAATCGATAAATAGATTCGAAACAAAGCTTGGAATATTCAGCATTAGATGTAATGTTCTTTATTATAATAACTGAAAGTTATAAGTTTAGTGTCTTGAATATCTGTTACTGAGGTGGGATCGTGGATGCGCACTGCTGAGGAGTCCCACAATAGGACGAAACGGCCGTCCAGTGCTTCCAGGTTTTCCATGGTGGTCTAGCTTTAATTGATTCACGATCTCAACCATTGAAATTACTATAATATCCACGAAAAATCCTTCTGATATTATTGAAAACTTTTAAATAATGATGAAACAATCGTCAGTTACTTTCAAGTAATAATATTCTAGGTTGAAAACAAATTATGAGTTGAATAAGTTTTCAAACGCTTTGAATGATGAATGAAGGATCATTCATATTTATGAAATGTTAGAAAAGTTTACGACTAATTTGAATAGTTTTCGTTATTCATGATTTAGTTCAAACAAGCTGGTTAAAGATTAACTATGAATTTCATGCTATGACAATCAATGTACTTATTAACTACTAACCTCATAGACTTCAACGGAGATTATTTTAGATAACTTAGTAAGATTTAGAAAGTTTAAAATCAACTATATAAAATGTTTATAATATTAGCATTCCATTGTTTATGTTAGGGACTGAATTTTGTTCAGTATATGTTCATCCTACGTCGATTGTCTCAATAATAGCTATTCTGTAATCAGTTATTTAGAATAGATAGATTTTAGATAGCTATACAATCCAGAACATACGTTTTATCGTACTTACTTAATATAAAATCTGTATATTGATAGTGAAGTGGAAAATTCGATGATCAGTTAATAAGCCTTGATAGGAAAGTTATGACTAAGTAATGGTTGACCGATAGGTCCTGGGTTCGAATCCCACGAGCGGGATCGTGGATGCGCACTGCTGAATAATTTTCGTTCTAGGATGAAATGGCCGTTCAGTGTTTTCAGGTTTTCCATGATGATCTAGCTTCAATTGACTCAACTATTAAATAACAATGACACAAGAATCTTATCATAATTTTGAAAATTTGAACCACTGTTTAAGGTTTATTGAAAAAAATTCTGATCATCAGCTTCGTTATGAGACAAGGAGGGGGGGGGAGAGAGAATCTGGAAACCCAACGACAACTAAACAGTCTAATAAATAACATGAGTTATATGGATGTTAAGGAGGCAATGAAAAATAATCAATGATGTTTTTTTCAAACAAGATGGTTTGAAATATTAAAAAAAACTGAGCGACTAAAGTTTTGTCCCAAATATAAGAAAGTTATATGTGTTTATTATGTAAAGAAATGATGAATATTTAAATATGTAACTTTTAGCGTAATAGTTCTCCAAAAAGTACAAGAATAAAAGTTTCAACGATTAGTCTACGGGATATATATGTATATAGCTAAAACTTACATATTCGACGTTGTTTTTCATAAATACTCCATTCTTCCGGTGTTTTTGGCATTGGTTCATTTTGTCTTAATGGTATTGTCCCATGTACCCAACAATAATCAGACAGGAAATTTTCAAAATCTTTCCCAGTTGGATGTACTGGTATATAACATGACATACTATTAAATACATATTGTTTTAATGTAATGATAATTGTACAAATCAAAAATAGTAATGATGTGAATAGATTAAGTTTATCGGAAAAATCTTCCGGTGAAGCATTTGAAGCTTCCAGTTGAAATTTATTAAAATAATCTATGAAATCCACAGGCAACATATTCATATCAACACTTTTTGTTTAATCAAGAGTCTACCGAAATAAAATTTTAACTAAAGTATATTTTTATTGTCAGATTTATTAAATAGGTAACTTTTTTTGTAATACGTTGCTCAAAAAGTAGGTAGTTTGTTTATTTGTATGTGTAGTTGTATAAGTATTCAAGTTGGAATACACTCCCCTCTGTTATAAGCACAGAAGTACTTTATTTTATTGGTTTAGTTAATTTCTTGTTGCGATTTTGTGTACTATGTTAAGCAAAAGTGCTAAATATCAAACTGAAAAAATGGAACAAACTGATAAGTATTGTTCTTATGATAACAAAAAGTTTCTAATTCACCTTAAAATTAAACGCTGAATGTGTTTATAAGATATTTGCGATTTATCAATCGGGAAAGACAGAGTATATTAGTAAATATAGATTTCAGTTTTATAAAGTCAAGGATCGATAGAGTTCCATAATCATTAAAGGACTGGATCAATACACTGTTAGTTACTACTCAGAAATCATCTAGTACAAAATATCTTAGTCCTACAAAAGATCATTCGCCACTCGAATAGCCGAGTAGTAGCGTTTCAGATTGTAGAACTGGGTGGCTAAATCGAAAATCCCATATAGAGCATCTTTCTCTCATGACAACAGTGAGTCGTCCTGATGAATACCAACTAGTACGAAACCTAAGTGCATGGGTTTTATATAGATCACTTCCAAACACCTAACATCAAAAATCGCGCATGCAATATAATATCACTTAAACTAGTGGCCACACTGCAACTTGACCAATAGTGTTCGATCATTTCTGAAGACTAGATAAAACAGGATATTGGTTACTATCTAGTGACGAGTCACTGTAAAAATCCAGAGATTGAATATTGTCAATGTTCAGTGATTCGTTATTTTGAACGATTCTTCCACGAATGTCAATCTAGAATAAGCAACTTAACGTATTGAATGTTAGGAAATTAATTGATTACAATAAAGGAATAACGCACTGATTTTCGTCACAGATTAATGTAACCGTTGAAAAACAATTACGATAATAAATAGAAATGAAACATTTTGTATCCTAGTTTAAGATTGTTTTTTGTGGATACTTACAACCCTATACAAGCTAGAATTTAGAGTTTTCAATTCTTACAGTAAGCTGCATTAGTCTAGACTACTAACAATGAATAGTTATTTAAAACAATTACTCCCTTTGATAAATTTCGATAAGGTAATAAGAAGACGAAGATTATCAGAACTATATGATATATTAGCGCAATATATTTCGAACAATCTGATCACACATATGCTTGTTAAGAGCATTTATATATATAAATAAAAGGTCAACTAGACTGGGAACGAGGTAAGAGGAGATAAGGATGATGATAAGAGTAATAATAATAATAATAATGTGAACGCAATTCAAAACCTAATCACTCTGGATAATAAGTCAATATTACCAGGGTAGGTTTAAGGTAAGAACAAACTGTTACTGAACACACAAAGGGGATTTGAATTTTCGTACGGCTAAGGCTAAGTAATAAATGAATTTATTTATTTATTTATTCCTTTTCTAATTTTCTCTTCGTTTATTATTTTTCTTCACACCCTCCTACCACTTAATTTTCTCTCAACTATACGTTTCATGGTCCAATTATCTGGACATTTCTTAATACGTCATCTTATAATTTTATAATTGTTATCTCAGTTTCTATATTTTTCTAATCATTGACCTATTTCAGATTATGTAACGTTGATTTGGACCTTTATTATTATTGCTTATCAAAAACTAATGCACCTGTTGTCACACCATCAATTTGTACTTTTCACATTTTACTTATTATGTAATCTTTTCCATGGTTATCATTGACTTATAAACTACCTTGAGTGGTTTAATAATTTCGTATATGCATATAAATATTACTGTATATTAGAGTAAAGCCTGATGAGGATCTAATCGAAAACAATATTGTTCGCTTATATATGTTGTTCTAAATTATATGTTTAGCAATAGAGGATGATGGATGTTTATTCTCTGCTCTTATTGGGTCACTTGATTGTATTTGTTTCTGCAGCCATTTGGGTACATGTTCACTCACCCTAGTGTTGAGATCACGATTGCTCCTCCCTATATATGTGTGACCACACACACATTTAGATTGGTAAACATAGTTCTGATAATCTTCATCTTCTTATTACATAATCGAAATGAATAGTTACCTTGCTTGTAATGTATATCAAAAGTGAATAGACTAATTTATTTTTTTAAATGAAATAATTTAACTAACTAATTTCACACAAATTACAGATTCAGGAAAATACCACGTGTTCAATAGTCAATTATTTACATTGTACACCAATATGATAGATTGTTTCATGTGATTATTACTATTGAATTGATTACACTTTTGATGCTTTGAATAGTTATAGTGTAACTGAAATTTCTTAGTTAAATGTAATCCAGTTATGAAATTTACCTGTAGGAAATACTATATGGCTAATTTGCTTGAAAGTAACAACGAAATGGTTTATTTGATGTTAACTGGTTGAAGATAATCTCCACAAAGCTATGATTATAGATTTTCATTAGTAATTTTCACAAATAAAAAATAAGTATTAATACGATTGGAAGTGTTGTTTTCAAAGAGATTTAGACGTATTAATCTATGTTATAGTTAGAGGTAATAACAGCTAGTTGAGTCATGACTAGAATCGTGTAAGATTAATGAGTAGTAACTAGTAACATTTTTGTCTAATCTTTAGGGGTAATCTGATTTTGTCGATCAAGTTGAGTGATATGACTTCGGGTACCTTATGGAATACCAGTCCCCTCAAGTTTGTAGATGGGTTTTGGTGATGAAAGCTAACGGAGAAAAACCCGGAACTAGACTGATTACCAATTGCTTCCAATCATCTAAAATTATAACACAGTGCGCTCACTGTTGAGTCACTTAGACTAGTTGCAAATATTCCAACTTGATCGATTGGATTCTATCAGCACTATAAGAATAGATCAACATGAGATCACTTATAGCTCAATGATCAGTCAGTGAAACTGATCTGTTTCTGATTAGGCACAGATTTCATTGACATGGTTTTGTTTTCTTTGAATAAGTGACTAAGTTATGTGAAATCGATCTTGTTTAAGTAATTAACGCCGATTTTTAGATCTACTACTTACTTCGATTACGTTTTCAGTGTAATATGGTAATCATTCAATTGAGGTACGTTCTACATTTATTCTCTTCTATAGAATCCAACAAGGACAACTCTTCTAATAGAATAATACAAATTTTTTATAGATTCTCTTCAATTGTTTCCAACCTAAATACTATAGCGTTAGCTATTAAAACAGGTGGATCTGTATACTTCACAACAAGTTTACAGACAAATTTTGATCAATGTCGTAGACGACTTTAAAGTAAGATAAGTAATGTGTAATAAGTGTGAAAGATTTCTAAAACTCTGTGAATTGTATTCATGAGGGAGTTACAATATTTAGGATACCATTTCACGGACTGAACTCAGAATCTTTAGTTCTCATAAATTGAGATTTAACAGTATATGTTTTGTATGTCAATCAATTCACGATATAGTGTTCATTTACTTAAAAAGACAGAGATTAGGATTACTGAAAAATTATGGTTTTGCTTTACGTGTGTTTTAAGGCAGAGGAACAGATGAAAGTTTGTAGAAAACAAAACTTACTATAAACTGTTCAGACAGCTTAGTTTTTCTCTTTGTTCTGTTACAAGAAATTATTCTTCTGTTAAGCTCTGTCATTTGACTGATTTCGAATTACTTTGTCTGATGGATTCAGTCTAACATCAGCTCAATTTACATAACACTACTGTTCTTTTCTATTATTGTTATTAGTACAAAATAAGCAAAGCTACAAGATTCGAGTAGATTAATTTCTATGAGAGATCATAAAACAATTTTACATATTCCAATTCACATACTTTTAGATCTTATGAACCCTAATCTGTTTGATCATAAACGCAAGATTCGAAAATCAAGAAAAAATAGTCTTGAACCTCAATGGGAAGATACAAGCCAAACAATATCAAGTGAATTCAAATTCACCTCATTACACAAGCAAGTGGCTATTAAGACTCAGTAGCTGAGTGGATAGAGAGATAGCGTTTGAAGCGAATATTATTGGGTTCGAGTCCAAGAGTGAACATCAACTCTGAGATGCAGGTACATCCATCTGACGAGTCCCAAATAGGACGAAACGCGCGTCTAGATTCCATTGCTGACCACTATCCGTCATTGCTTACAAAAAAATAGTATTTATCAAATTGTCATTTTTTTGTAAACATTAGGTCATTTCTATGATCTAGTTAACAGTATTTAGTTAATTCTTTATAGTTATACATTGAATGAATGAATCATATTTTTAATTTGAATAATTTATATCAATAAAACATGTTACCAAATATTTATTTCGTACATAAACCATCTCAACTATATTTTTTTTTAGAAAAAATTGCTAGTTGCCAAGGTACCTCTTTTATTTTTACACAAAGGTAATTGTTGATAGTAATCTAGGTTAGTCAGCAAAAACATTATTGTTTAATATGAATTTTTTTTTAAAATTTTATTTATAAATCAATGTAGTATTATATCACACTAATGTTGATTGTTTAACAGAATAGTTGTTCAGTATAGATGGATACTACTTTTATTTTACTAGATAGAAACGTATTTACATTGTATCTAACTGTTCATTTATAGCTGGTGTTGTCTAAATTACTGAAAAACAGTTATGATGAATATAGAAATGGTATTTCGAGTAATTAATTTCATAGAATCCCATTTCTGTTTGTCACAAAAGTATAGAAACTTCATGACTATATATTTTTAAGAAAGAAAACTGAGATTTTCATACATTAATCAAGCCATAGAAGTGGACTAAGTAAGAAGGATAAGTGTATTTTGCTATTTATGTTCGCAAAATCTTGTTCATTTTATGATGTAAATCACAAACTGGTTTTATTTACATAACCCTAGAAAG